CATTTCTGTGCTTCCTTTCCCCATCCTAGTAAATAAGTTAATGGATGATAGTATTAAGAAAAATGGCCTCGCCGGGCTCGGTGGCTCAGCCTGTAATCCCGTGCCTTTGGGAGGCTGAGGTGAGTGGATTGCCTGAGCCCGCGGGTTCGAGACCCACCTGGGCAGTGAGACCTCATCTCTACAATAAAAAAAAAAAAAAAAAATCAGCCAGGCGTGGTAGCACATGCCTGTAATTCCGGCTACTCGGAAGGCTGAGGCGAAAGGATCGCCGGAGCCCAGCAGGTCGAGGCTGCGGTGGCCAGCAGCGGCCACTGCACTCCAGTCTAGGCAAGAGTGAGACTCCAACTCAAAAATAAAAATTAAAAAATAATTAAAAAATAAATAAGAAAAATGGCCTCTTTTGGGCCCTCGCTTCCAAGATGACAAAGTAAAGAAGGGACAATGGTTGCACCAAAAAGGACCACAGCCACGTGCAGTCCATTCGCTGCACGAACTGCATCCGAAACGTGCCCAAAGATAAAGCTATTAAGAAGTTCGAAGCCGGGCTCGGTGGCTCAGCCTGTAATCCCGCGCTTTTGGGAAGCTGAGGTGAGTGGATTGCCTGAGATCGCGGGTTCGAAGACCCGCCTGGGCAGCGAGACCTCATCTCTACAATAAATCAAAAAATCAGCCGGGCATGGTAGCGCATGCCTGTAATTCCGGCTACTCGAAGGCTGAGGCGGAAGGATCGCCGGAGCCCAGCAGGTCGAGGCTGCGGTGGCCGGGAGCGGCCACTGCGCTCCAGTCTGGGCGACAGAGTGAGACTTCAACTCAAAAAACAAAAAAAAAGAAGTACGAGCCGGGATCGGTGGCTCAGCCTGTAATTTCGCACTTTGGGAGGCTGAGGTGAGTGGATTGCCTGAGCCCGCAGGTTCGAGACCCACCTGGGCAACTTGGCGAGACCTCATCTCTACAATAAATCAAAAATTAGCTGGGCGTGGTAGCGCACGCCTGTAGTTCCAGCTACTTGGAAGGCTGAGGCAGAAGGATCACCCAGGTCCAGCAGGTCGAGGTGACCAGGAATGGCCACTGCACTCCAGTCTGGGTGACAGAGTGAGACTCCAACTCAAAAAAAAAAAAAAAGTTCGTCATGGCCGGGCTTGGTGACTCAGCCTGTAATTCCAGCATTTCGAGGCTGAGGCGAGCGTATTGCCTGAGCCCGCGGGTTTGAGAACAACCCAGGCAACTTGGCAAGACCTCATCTCTACAATAAATCAAAAATTAGCTGGACGTGGTAGCGCACACTTGTAGTTCCAGCTACTTGGAAGGAAGGCTGAGGCGGAAGGATTGCTGGAGCCCAGCCGGTCGAGGCTGCAGTGGCCGGGAGTGTGCCACTGTACTCCCAGTCTGGGCAACAGAGTGAGACACCACCTCAAAAAAAATTCATCAGGCCAGGTGCAGTGGGTCACACCTATAATCCCAGCACTTTGGGAGGCCAAGATGAGAGGACTGCCTGAGCCCATAGGTTCGAGACCAGCCTGGGCAACTTGGTGAGACCTCATCTCTACGATAAATTTAAAAATTAGCTGGGTGGCCGGGTGCAGTGGCTCATGCCTATAATCCCAACACTGGGAGGCCGAGGTTAGAGGATTGCCTGCGCCTGCGGGTTCAAGACCAACCTAGGCAACTTGGTGAGACCTCGTCTTTACAATATATCAAAAAACAAGCCGCCGTGGTAGCATGTGCCTGTAGTGCCAGCTACTTAGAAGGCTGAACGGAAGAATTGTCTGAGCCCAGCTGGTCGAGGCTATGGTGGCTGTGAGCATGCCACTGCACTCTAATCTGGGCGACAGAGTGAGACTCCGACTCAAAAAAAAAAAAGTTCATCATCCAAAACATAGTGGAGGCCGCAGCTGTCAAGGACATTTCTGAAGCGAGTGTCTACTTGCAGATGCTGCCCCATGACCTCCACCAAAGTCCATGTAAGAAGCTGAGTCCTTCAGGACTGAAGAACAACTATCTTGGGGGAAAAAAAGGAAAATATACTTTAGTCAGGCAGGGTGGCATACATCTGTAGTCCCAGCTACACAAGAGGCTGGGGCAGAAGGATCACCCGAGCCCAGGTCAAGGCTGTGCTGAGCCATGATCACACCACTGCACTCCAGACTGGATAAGAGCCTGATTCAAGAATAAAAGTTCCATTCCATATCAGATTTCTATAGTTAGTACCAGAGACAAAGGGAATAAACTGTAGGAGCTGGAGAATTAGATATTTTAAAATGTAGGCCAGGCATGGTGGCTCAAGCCTGTAATCACAGCACTTGGGGATGTCGTGGTGAGAGGATTGCCTGAGTCCACGGGTTTGAGACCAGCTTGGGCAACTTGGCAAGACCTCATCTCCACAATAAAAAAAAAAATTAGATGGACATGGTGGCACGCTCCTATAGTTCCAACTACTTGGAAGGCTAAGGCAGAAGGATCACCTGAGCCCAGCAGATCGAGGCTGCAGTGGCCATGAGCATGCCATTGCACTCCAGCCTGGGCAACAGAGTGAGAGACTCCACTATCCCTAGATCTGCACACCCTGTTAGGACAGGAACCAGTGTTGGCCAAAGAGTATAAACTTTCAGTTACAGGATGAACAAGCTCTGGGTATCTCAGGCAGAACATGAGTAGTGATGAATGTGTTCACTGATTCGGTTGTGGCAATTATTATACAATGTATACGTGCATCAAGTCATCATGCTGTATACTTTGAAGGAAAAAAGAGACAGCAACAACAAACACATCCTTAACACTCAATTATTTTATCCTAGATGCTGGGCTCGTGTCTCATGGGAAACATCACCATAGAGCTGCCACATTCTCCATCCCCCAAGTCTCCCGTGAACACAGGAAATGTCCACTTTGGGGACATTCCCATTTAAGCACAGACCAATGCAAAAGCTAAATTAAAATCCAAACATCAGGGTGATGGGAGAATATTCCAGTATCCTAATTAACAAGATGATCAGGAAGAGTTTGAAAGTCCATGTCACTCAGGAGTCCCAATTCCCTTAATGTAGAACTTTTAGGACTTAAACAAGCTCAATGTAAAAAATAAACATTTATTACAAAAATCTGTTTTGACACTCGAAAATGAAAGCAGACAAGGCATTTTCCAACCCAAAGGAGCTGTTGTAAGCTGGAGAGGCAAAGTTCAAGGCTGGTGACAGCTGACTAGTACTCATCACGATTGGCCTGGAGAGGAACCATCACCTCATGCCCACAGGAGCCACAAATCCCCTCTCCCTTTCCCACCTTTCCTGTACATTCCTCCCACCCAGTCTTCCGATCTGATGTAAAACTGAAACTTACTTTAAAATCCCTATCCTCACCGAACCATTTCATAATCTTGACTTTTATGGTGTAGCTAATTTTCCTCTGGGAAATTTTTGATTAGTGCATGACCCCTCATCGGTGGCTTGATTCGTATTTTGACATTCTTCTTGGATCCTTGATAGAAAAATCGATTTCACGTTAGGGATTTCTAGATAAGGGGGTAAAATAGAGCAAGGTGGCACTTGGACTCCTCCACAGAAAGAAACAGAATCAACCCCAGAGGACCCATGATTTGCCTGCTTGCTGAGTTAATAGATAGATTGGGGGATTGTGGAAGATGGGGAAGCAGAATCTAAGTGCGGTCTGGGGGCAGTGGTCTATGCTCATGATCCCAGCCCTCGGGTGGTGGAGGCAGGAGGATCACTTGAGCCCAGGAGTTCTAGACTAACCTGGGCAACAAAGTGAGACCCCATCTCTATGTAAAAGTTTTAAAAATGCAAGAGAAATGTAAGGGCAGAGAAAGGTCCACACGGGGAGGAGAAGAGTAATAACAGGCCTATCCGCTGGTTCCCGTGTGATCACATGGCTCCGCTAAATGTAGTCATAGTTACCACTCTAAACCATGATTAAAGAAGCCGTTCTCTAAATGACCTCAGACATTCCCGCCTCAGCGGTGGAGCAGTTCTGAAGCCCTAGTGCAGTTGCTACTGCACCTGGCTGGGCGGGAGGTGGAGTGAGCATGTCCTCCTCTCAAGTGGTGGAACAGGCCAGGAGACCCCCAGCACAGCAGTGGCTTCACCTGGGCACTCTAAGCAGAGGAAGGCCTGTATGCAAGAGGTCTTCAGGGTCAAAAGTTCTGCCTGGAGATAAGAACCTAGAAGGGGCAGGGTGGGGCCGGCAGAAACAGCCCTGGGTCAGCAACCAGAGCAGGGCAGCAGAGCTCGGAGGCATTTTCCTGAGGCTTTCCAAAGGAGCCTAGGAACCCTCATCCTCATGTCCCTCACTTCCTTCCAACAAAGGCTTTTATTTCCAGCAATATCCAGCTACACACACAGAGAAGCAGAATCTCACCAGAGAGCTCAGGTGCTCCCCAACACACATCCAACTGCAGCACACAGCTAAGACCACACACACACACACACACACACCCAAAGAATTTTGACTACCACACATTCCCACAGTCCTGCAGACATATCATAAAAGGGTCTGTCCAGTTGTTCCAGCCAAGGGCATGATGACAGCTTGCACCGTCGGCTCCAGTTTTCTTTTCTTTAGATCAGTGGTGCTAAATCTTTTTCACTTCACATTTCCTGAAGGTTTATCAGGCTCTCCACAAGAGCTCCTGTTTTCCTATAGACACAGTCAGTGCCAGTCTGCTCGTGTTTAGGACAAGGCGGGAGGATCCAGTGGCACTTCTCGGGAGAAGACAGAAGAGGGTGGGCTCCGTGTGACATCATCACCACACAACCATGTCAGCCGCTGTCTCCACTTTCACACGGCTGTCACCTGTCCTCAGGGAGGGAGGAGCTCAAGGCTAGGCTCAAGGTCCCTATTCAAAGGCCACTACAGGCCAGGTAGGTCGTGATTCCGACACCTGGGCACCCTGGCTCTTTTGCTGTCCATTTAGGAGGGAAGCCACAGCACAGCTAGGACTCCTCCCCACAGCCAAGCAGGAAAGGGAGGGAGGAAGGGCGCACAGCTGACGTTTTATCAAAAACACATCCTAAGATAGAAGTGGGGCTCTGGGGGTCTAGAAGATAGATAAGGCATCCTGTGAGCTACAGACATCAGGACCAGAGCTGGCAGCACCTGAGTGAGGCAAGTACAAACGACAGCAGATGAGCCAGACCAGGATCACACCAGGAACGACGAGGTCTGTTTGAATTCCCCCTGGGGAAACAAGACACTCAGTCAGCTCTCCACGGTCTCCTTCAGCTGACAGTCCTCCAAAAACAAAGAGCCACAGGCCCAGGGAAGGCACACTCACCTCACTTCGAGCACTGGGCTGGCTGTAAATCACCTTCTTACTTGAAGTCCTGTGGAGAAGCCAGAAGATGGGTACACTCAGTCACTTAAGCGCTCACTAAGCTCTCCTTGCCAACTTTAGAGGCCAGAACTGAGAACTTTATAAGCATGGGGCACTCAGGAGGGAGGTGAGGGCGCAAGGAGACAGGACGAGCTCAGGTCACAGTGGCAGGGCAGGTATCCAGATGTCTTCCCTCCCAGCTGATCACCTCTGCCTTCAACCCGTTTCCCTGGGCCCATCTTCAAGCCACACGCATCTGTGTTCTCAACCTCAAAAAACCCAGGACAGCAGCTCACTCACCCTTTCTTTTTTCCTAAAAGAGAAGAAATGGGATTATGAGTGTCCACAGGACAGAAGTCAGCACGGCAGGGGAGATAGGGAGGGCATGGTACCGGGGCAAACACTCAGATGACACCCGTGAGCCAGGCCCTGGAACGAAGGTAATGACAAAGGAGGGGCTCTGAGGACAGATACTCACTGTCAAAGTAGCCTCGGCTGTAGGCAAACCAGAGGCCAAAGATCAAGAGTCCCAGGAGAATCAGTGTTACAAGGACAGCAGCCACAATGCCCCCCACGTTCAGCTCCACTGTGGGACACAAGCAAGAGGTCAGCACGGTGCTGCTCACTCGGCTACTGACGGCATCACGGCAGGATGGAAGCAGCCCCGCCCCCGCCCAGGTCTGAGTTCCGGCCCTCACACCTCACTCACCGGCTTCCATGCGCACAGCTGCGGACGACGCGGGTGTCCCGTACCCATTCTGTGCCTGACAATAGTATTCTCCTGTATCAGAGGCCGACAGAGGACTAAAGACCTGAAGAAAAAAAAAAAAAAAAAATCGGCTTCCTGATCGAAGATGCCAAGCACCTATCTTTCAGGTTTCCTGATCCTAACTCTGAGTTTGCCGCGCTCTTCTTCTTCACCTTCAGGGGTCCTGTACCTGTGGAACCCCCCACACCCGTCACCCCCACCCCATCCATACCAGCTCCCCTGACTTTTGGTTCAGCTCGTAGGAAGAGTTGCTGAAGGCACGACTGTTCTTGGGGTCCGTGGGCATCGGCACCCCATCCCTGAACCAGGAGTACTCAGAAGGTGGGGAACCGTCTGGCTCTGAGCAGGTCAGCACCACCCGATTCCCGATGGTGGCAGAGGAGGGTATGCTGACCGTAGGCTTGGATGGAGGCACTGTGGAGGGAGGAGGAGGGAAGGTGCTGAATCCAGGGCAGGGCTGCCTTAGTCCAAGTCACAGGAAAGGATGATACCCCGATCCGATCAGCTCACGCCTCCCACCCTGAGCACGCCCCTGTCACCTAGCCAGGAGCTCATGCCTCTCTGGCAGCACTGTGACTCTGAAAAGCCCTGCCGTGGGAATCTGCACCATCACTGAGCCCAACATTTAACAGTGCCGGCTGCACTGGTTCAGGGAAGCAACTGACCCCAGGTGCACATGGAAGACCGCGGCACCTACCAAGCACAATGAGCTTGACTGTGACCTCCCCGTAGTTGTTGCCGCCTTCCTCAGAGACCATACATGTATACAGCCCATTGTCTTTCCGGGTCACGGAAGAGAAGGTAATATCACTGGGTGAGAAGGTGACTCGGTCCTCATAGGATGCTACCAGGAGAGAGGAAGTAGGAGTAGAGACACAGTGAACTCGAGAGCTAAGAAAGCTGGCACCCAAGGTGTGCAGGTGCCTTTTTTATCCCCCAGAAGGGAGATGGGGCCGGGCACGGTGGCTCACACCTATACTCCCAGCACTTTGGGAGGCTGAGGTGAGAGGATTGCCTGAGCCCATGGGCTTGAGACCAGCCTGGGCAACATGGCGAGAGCTCGTCTCTGCAATAAATCAGAAAAATTAGCCAGGCGTGGTGGCATGCGTCTGTGGTTCCAGTTACTTGGAAGGATGAAGCGGAAGGATTGCCTGGGCCCAGCAGGTCGAGACTGTGGTGACTGTGAGTGTGCCACTCCACTCCAGTCTGGGTGACAGTGAAACTTTGACTCAAAAAGAAAAGGGAGCTGGGCTCAGTGGCCCAGCCTGTAATCCTGCGCCTTTGGGAGGCTGAGGTGAGTGGATTGCCTGAGCCCAAGGGGTCGAGACCCGCCTGGGCAGCGAGACCTCATCTCTACAATAAATCAAAAAATCAGCTGGGCGTGGTAGCGCATGCCTGTAATTCTGGCTACTTGGAAGGCTGAGGCGGAAGGATTGCCGGAGCCCAGCAGGTCGAGGCTGCGGTGGCCGGGAGCGGCCACTGCACTCCAGTCTGGGCGACAGAGTGAGACTCCAACTCAAAAAAAAAAAAAGAAATGGGAGATGGGAAGCCCCTGGAGACTTAAAGAACTCCAGCGCAATCATCTCTCCACAACATGGGTCATCAGAAGCGGGTGTAGTGACTCACCTGTGATCTTGTTGTTGTAGCACACAAGGCTGGTAGTGTCTCCTTGTACAAACTTCCACTCCACGCGGGGGGAGGAAAAGCCCGAGTAGGAGCAGGACAACTTGACAGCTGCAGACAGGGCCAAAACGAGACGGAGGAAGGGGAACAGCAAAGGCACAAGACAGGGGAACAGCTCAAGCCACAGCCTGAACTGGATGTGCTCCGGCCCCCAGAGGTTGGCAGTGCTCACCCCACGCCCACCCTGGCTCCCTCCCAACTCACTTTTATTCTCAGGAATTCTGACTTCAGATTCAGGAGTGTACACTGTACTCTTGCCCAGCACCAAAGAGCCTGAGGAGAAGGAGCGAGGCGGACCCCATCAGGACAGAACAGAGTAATGCCAGAAAGAGGAACAGCCCCAGCTGATGGGGCCTCTCTCTGCTGAGATGCCAAGGTGAAGGATGCAAGAGACTCACACTCCTCCTGGCTCTCACACCTTCCCACCATTATCCTAAGTATCTCCTTCAATGCCTTTTGCTACAGTTGCAGGTCAATACTTTGGTGGAACCTTTCCAGTGCAATTTCTTTGGTTTCTAATCCCCCCACCCCACCCCACAACTCCCAGTAATCTAATTAGATCTCTACTCGTCCAAGGGCAGCTTCCAAAGTGACATTTCATGGCTCAGAGAAAGCTTCTCAACAAACGATTGCAGCCATTCATGGAGACAACCCTGGAAGGAAGCCAGTGGGGCTGCAGGCAAGGGAGTCAAGGACAGGACAGAAGAGCGTAATGAGGATAATAACACTGCTCGACATTTGTGGAGCACAGGGTGCTTCTTAATGTGTTTTCACATACACTACATGACAGGATGTGTCGCTTGGTCCTTGAAACAAACATGGTAGACCAGCAGGACAAGTATTAATAGCCTAATTCCACAGGAGGAAGAGGCAACGGAACGCAAGGAAACGTGCTTCGGATCACACAGCCGGTTCTGGGATGGCACAAGAACAAGAATCGAGCTCAGGTCATCTTGTTAGAATCGCTTACTTGCCAAATGGAAGAAGAAAAGAGAAGATGTGTGGTAGGCATGGAGGGAGTAAGGAGTAAGAAGCAAATAAAACAACACGAGGGGCACACCACTTCAACAAGGGTACCTGCACAATTAACATTTATATACCTAATCCTAAATTGTACCCCACATCTTTAAAATAAAAATTAAATTTAAAATAAATAAAAAGCCAGGCTCGGTGGCTCAGCCTGTAATCCCGCGCCTTTGGGAGGCTGAGGTGAGTGGACTGCCTGAGCCTGTGGGTTCGAGACCCGCCTGGGCAACTTAGCGAGACCTCATCTCTACAATAAATCAAAAATCAGCCAGGCGTGGTAGTGCGCGCCTGTAATTCCGGCTACTCAGAAGGCTGAGGCAGAAGGATCGTCGGAGCCCAGTAGGTCGAGGCTGCGGTGGCTGCCGGCCACTGCACTCCAGTCTGGGTGACAGAGTGAGATCCCAACTCAAAAATAAGTAAATAAATAAATAAAATAAAATAAAACAAAAACATTAGAGAAAAAAACAATATGGGGGGCACCTCAGGGTTTACAGGGGAAAGGCCCACACATGCCAAATTAAGAACCAGCCACAGAGGATTCTGGGATCAGATGATGCAGCTACGAACCTGCACTCACACAAATACTCTCATTCATGTCTTCAAAGCTCAGACTTATGAAGCATCCTGTTATTTATAGCTTCAAGTCAGGGCCCTGTCTTCCTAGATAAGTGAAAAACAAAAAACAAAACAAAACAAAAAAAACATGTAGAATGCAAGCACATCTGTTAAAATCAACATAGTAAGATTTGCCTGAGCAACATAGTAAGACACCCACCTCTACAAAAAATAAATAAATAAAAAGAACTAGCCAGGTGTGATGGCTCTCACCTAAAGCCCCAGCTACTTGGCAGGCTGAGACAGGAGGATCACTTGAACCTACAAGTTGGAGACTGCAGTGAGCTCTGATAGTGCCACTGCACTCCAGTCTGGGTAACAGAACAAGACCTCATCTATTAAAAAAAAAAGTGTGGCCAGGCTCAGTGGCTCAGCCTGTAATCCCAGCACTTTGGGAGGCCGAGGTGAGTGGTTCAAGACCAGCCCCAGCAACTTGGTGAGACATCAACTCTACAATAAATAAAAAATTAGCCAGGTGTGGTGGTGCGTGCCTGTAGTTCCGGCTACTTGGAAGGCTGAGGTGAAAGGATCACTGGAGCCCAGCAAGTCGACATTGGGGTGGCCATGAGTGTGCCACTGCACTCCAGCCTGGGTGACGGAGTGAGACTCCAACTCAAAAAAAAAAGTGCATTTTACCTTTTATTTAATTTCTCACATAACTAAATATGATTTCATGATCTCCAAGACTCCTTTTCCTCATCAGAAATATGAAGGATTTGGCTAGGCGTGGTGGCTCACGCCTGTAATCTCAGCATTTTGGTTGGTGGAAGCAAGAGAACTGCCTGAGCCCAGAGGTTCGAGACCAGTCTGGGCAACTTGGCAAAAACTTCACCTCTACAATGAATCAAAAACTTAGCCAGGTGTGGTGACCCATGCCTGCAGTTCCAGCTACTTGGAAGGCTGAGGCTGAAGGATCACTTGAGCTGAGCCCAGCAAGTCAAGGCAGCAGTAGCTGTGAGCAGTGTGCTACTGCACTCCAGCTTGGGTGATAGAGTGAGACTCCAACTCAAAAAAAAAAAAAAAAAAAGAGGGTTATGAACCAGGTGTTCTCTAAAGTCCTGTAGGTTCCCTTTGGGGGAGGAGCATTAACACTTAGAGAGCATATTTATATACATTTATTTAAGTCTACTATAACAATACTGTAACTTAGTTCAGAAAAATATCCTCTCATTTTACAGACAAGAAAATTAAGTGTCTAAAAGGTTAAGTGGCTAGTCCAAGGTTTCATAGCAAGGAAATGACAGAGCTGAATCAGCACAGATCATTCTTTTTTTTCTGATTATACCCTTCCTTCTTGTAAACCATGCTGTTTTTCAAAAAAGCCACTGGTTTAACGAAGACAAACTGTATAATAAAATGTTATTCTTGCCAGGTGTGGTGGCTTACAACTTGTAATCCCAGCACATTGGGAGGCCAAGATAGGAGGATCACTTGAGTCCAGGATCTTGAGGCTACGGTGAGCCATGATCTTGTCACTGCACCAGCCTGAGTGACACTGAGATTCTAGTTAAGAAAAAAAAAAAGGCACTCTT